CGTTGTGCTTCCTTTCATTCATTGACCGTGTCTGTGATTCCCACCTGCAAGGCTAGACACTTCAGTTTGACTTAGTAGAACCCAACTGTCTGAACCAAGCCTCATTTCTGCCAGGATATTCTTACGAATGTAGGGCCTGGAAAGGTCACGTCTGGTGTGATATGTGAAGATCATGACTGGGCCCACTGCCATGGCTTCCATCTCTTTTTGAATATAACCCGGGATAACCTTTGCAACAGATGACTTGCTATTGTTGAGGCAGAATCCTGTCGACGGAAAATAACCAACTGTAAAAATTAATAATTAATACTCAACGCGGTATATTTCCAAGCCAAACATGAGTGACCTAGGCCCGGAGAAGAGATATGTATGTCTTTCTCAGGGTGATCATGTACAGGGGTTCCTTTTATTTCTTTTTGAGATTGACAGACAAAATTTAGTGAAGAGATTTTCCATTGGTCTGGACCAAACAGGCGGGACATGTGGAAGCAGGGGCTTGTAGGTTATAGGTGAGTTCCACAATTTTTAGGTTGGTGATTGGAAGGGAAGATCTGTGTCTTGAGAAGAGAATAATTAAAGAAAGGCTTAATCTATATCTCAAGGAAAGGGAAGTTTTGTGTCTTGGGAAGAGATAAGCAAAAGAATATACTGTAATCGGTTGGAATATGCATCTCAAAGATGCTATGCCAGGGACAAGATGTAGGAAGAATCCTGTTAATAGAGAATAAATGGTCTGTTTAGTGAGCTTTTCAACTCCTTCTCCCATCTTTTAATAGGTCTCATCATCTTTTTTCCAAACAGCTTTTTTAGTTCCTTATGTATTCTGGTTATCAAACCCTTATCTGATGCATAGTTTACAAAAATATTTTCCCATCCTGAGGGCTGTCAATTCACACTAGTTACTGTGTCTTTTGCCATGCAGAAGCTTCTTAGTCTGATGTAATCTCACTTGTCTATTTTGGGGGTTATTGACTGTGCTTGAGGGGTCTTATGTAAGAAGTGTTTCCCTACCCCAATGTCTCCCAGAGTTTCCCCAATGTTTTCTAGAAGCAGTGTAATAGTTTGAGGTCTTAGGTTTAGATCCTTGATCCACCTTGACTTGATTTTTGTCAGAGGTGAGAGGTAGGGGTTCAGATTCATCTTTCTACAGGTGGAAATCCAGTTTTTTCCAGCACCATTTGCTGAAGAGGTTTTCCTTTTCCCACTGGATTGACTGGTACCCCTTGTCAAAAATCAGTTGACTGAATGATTGAGAATTTATTCCTGTGGACTCAAGTCTGTTCCATTGGTCCACATGTCTATTCCTGTGCCAATACCATGCTGTTTTGATTACCACAGCTTTGTAGTATATTTTTGGGTTGGGGAGTGAGATGCCACCTACTCCACTCTTCTTTTGTAGAATTGCTTTGGCAACGTGGGGTCTTTTATTATTCCAGACGAATTTTATGATTGTCTTTTCTAAATCTGTGAAGAATGTGTCTGGTACTTTGATTGTCATTGCATTAAATATGTAGATTAATTTGAGTAGAATTGCCATTTTGGTTATATTAATTCTTCCAATCCAGGAACATGGGATGTCCTTCCACTTTTTTGTGTCATTTTCAATTTCTTTTTTTTTAGCTTCTCATAGTTTTCCTTGTGGAGGTCTTTAACTTCTTTGGTTAGATTTATCCCTAAGTATCTTATACTTTTAGTGGCTATGGTAAATGGAAAACTTTTTTTCAGTTCTATCTCCGTCTGCCTGTTTGTGTATAGAAATGCTACAGACTTCTGTATATTAATTTTGTATCCTGCAACTTTACTGTATTTGTGCATCACTTCCAGAAATTTCTTCATGGAAATCATTGGGTCTTCTATGTATACAATCAAGTCATCTGCGAATAGAGAGAGTTTCACCTCTTTTTTTCCTATTTGGATGTCTTTAATTTTCTCCTCTTTTCTGATTGTGTTGGCGAGGACTTCCAGTACTATATTGAAAAGGAGTGGAGAAAGTGGGCATCCTTGTCT